CCTGGCTAGTTTACTGATCTTCTTGCGAAATCAGAATCTCTGGACAATGACAGAAGCACAGTTGAAAAACGTGCTTTCAGCAGGACTATGTTTTCATTTCAGACAAAGCTGGTGATCATATAGAGTGCAATCTGTCTTGACCTCAGATGATATGAAGGTGATATGATTCCTTCTGAGGTAGGAGTCCTATGATGTAAGTTGACTTATATGAAATTTTTCAGTGAGTCCCAGCTTTGCCATCTCAAGTTCCAGCTGAGCATCTCAGTCCAGGTCCTGTATCTCTAGTGTTTTCGCTTCACAAGGACGTTGTCCTGAAGATGGTGACCCCTTTACCTCCAGGAACAGTCTGTGGTGTTCAGCTTCAGAACAATCCCACCTGTGACATACAGCATAATATCTGTGGGGTAGGAGCAAAGATCTGGCCCACAGTACACAAAAGTAACTCTATCATTGTCAGCAACACCATTGAGGACATGATAGACTGGTTGGTGTAGAAGCACCAGAGTGAAAAATGGTAGGATAAGGTATATTAGAATACCAGGTGTTGATGGAAATGAGATTACTGGATCATCAAGATCCTAGCGCCCATCTACTTGCAGCTTCTCAGACACTAGGTTGGGAGACACAGCACAAGAATTAAATCATGACGTGTAACAGAGAAATGACAGAACAGCAAGATAGATCACTGTCAGCTCCTAGCCGGGACAAAAAAGAACATGCAAGCCTAGCACATTTTTGCTAACCTACAAAAAGCCCAGAAGACATGAGGAGGACTCTACAGCTGGCATCCTCTGTATTATTTCAGGGAATCCTGGAAAGATTGACTGATTACATGCATGCTGGATGGACTTCTTGCACAAACTCATGCTTGTGAGACTGTGTGTATGGGAGTGTAAGTGAAATCAGTTTTGTTTTAAAGTAAAAGACTCTCCTTTCCTAGGAGGTCTCACATTGCTGCCACAATGTCACAGCATTATTTCCTACAGGGTGAGGAGGGATGACACACCATCTGACAAATTCTGCACACAGTGAGGAGGAGGCAGGTCAGAACCTGTAATCTTTCTGCATTAACATGGAACATCTTTGGCATAACAGGCACATCCCAGCTGAGCTCTGTACACAAACCCACAGCACCTTCTCTGCACATGTAACAGTCAGTTTGATGAACAGGCAAGGAAAAAAGCATAAACAGGGTGAGGACCAAAAAATGAGAGAAAGCTGGTGATTTATAAGAATACAGACCTTCATATACAGACCATCCAAATAGGAGTCTCCAAATGAATCAAGTGCTGTCTCTTCTGAAGGAAAGATTTTTCACAAAAGCTGAGTTAGGCCAGACAAATCCCTGAAGCAGAGGACACAGGCTGGTGGAAAACAAGACAGACAGAAAAGGTGACAGCAGACAAGATAGGGAAAGAGAAAAATCCTCTGGAGAGCTTCTTCCCTGTCACCTGGAATGACTGAGGTCTCCTCAAGAGAAGGAGCTCTCTACTTTGCGAGAAGAAAGCTGTAAGAGATTGTAAGTGGAAGTAAGTGATGCCAAGTGACTGCCTCATGAATCTCATGTTGAGAGAAGAGCAGTAGGAGATCACTTCACCATCAGCACAGAGCAGAAAGACACTGTCTCCTGAATTAATTACCTGAATCAACTGTTCTGCTTCTGGCAGCCACAGGAAGATGCAAAATCTAGATATAGCTTGCATTTTCTGGATATTATTATTTCAGATAAAATTCAAAATCAAAGCAGGCAGGACAGGACATACTCAGAACTGTATAAACACTCCACGTGTGACCTTCCCCCACATTAAATGCATTTAGAAAAGGCACAGAGCAGATATTCAGAGTACACCATGAAATAAAACATGAGAGTTAGACATAGAGTTCCTCTCCAGATAGGAACAGGGCCCAAAAAAAAAAGAAAGAATTGCCTGTGCCTTCCATGGGAAACTCACTCACCCAATCTTTGTGTCTCATTGGAAAAAGGTTTCACAGGACAGCAAAACTCATGTCTCATTGAGCTGTTCATCAGAGCTGTAGTTCAACTCTGTTTCTACTCCAGTTATCCCTACCCCAGCTAACTTCCTCATGTGCCTCATGTGCTCCAGCCCCCTGACACTTCCTCACTGTCCCCCATGCCCTTACAGCTCGTCAAATTATGACAAGCCTTCTCCAGCATATCAGGTTTGAAGATCTCCTTGCAAGGTTATCCTCTCAGCAAAACCACTCTTGTCCCGCTTGCCCAGGTGGGTCCCAGTCCTCTCAGCAGTCCTTGTTCCTTAAAGAGGGCCCTGTGGTCAGAGACGCCAAAGCACTTCGTGTGACACCAGCCACACAGTCGGGTGTTCCTTCCTCCTGTTCCCTTCTCCTTCACCAGCAGGAGAAAGAACACCAGCTAGGCCCCCATGCCCTCCACTCTCACCTCCCAGAGCCCTCCTGTCACTCTGAATGTGCACAAGGCTGCCGCTAGCAGTAGCCCCTCACTTGCTTTCTGGACATGTTAACATGGAGCCTCCCATAGAGACATACGGGCATCTCTTCAGCTTCCTGTTATTTCTCAAGCACACTACACTTGTGCCCACAGCCTCCAGCTTCAAGCATTGTTTCTTTGGTGGGCAAGAGATAACACTTGTATACAGCTGATGTACATCAGCTGAACCCCCAAGCCATCAACCAAACCCCCAGACCCCTTTCTGCAGGGTTGCACTCCAGCCTCTTGTCCACCAGTCTATCTACATACATCCAGGATTATGCTGTCCCAGGAGCAGAATCCAGCATTTGTCCTTGTTAAATTTCACATGGTTGGTGATTTCCCAGCACTCAAATCTACAAAGATCTCTCTAAGGCCTCTCTATTCTTGAGGGACTCAACGTCTCCTCCTAATTTAGTACCATCAGCAAACTTTCTTAGCATGTGCTCAACTCCTGTGTCCAGGTCATTGATAAAAACATTCAAGAAAACTGGCCCTAAAATTGAGCCCTGAGGAACACCACTGGTGACTGGCCACCAGCCTGATGTTACTCCACTACTCCATTGACTACAACCCTTTGTGCCCAACCCTTCAGCCAGTTGTTCACCCAAGGAAGTAGAGGACAGAGCCACACCACAGTCTTGAGCTGCAGTCACTACTACAGCCCTGCCGTTGTGTGTAGATATCAGCAGTGAGTATCCTCAAGAGTTGAAACAGGGCAATAAAAATCTGGGCAGATATGTTGTATATTACTCTTTCAAGTTTGGGCTGAAACACTTATGCATTAGAACGTGTTAGTTAGGGGTTTCTGTTGCCTCAGTTTGTAGGTCAGGTTTACATAACCTACTTCTTCCCAACTCGAACCATTTAATCATTCTCTTGTCATAGAAACTTCTATGAAAATGAGGCAAACCCCCTTCTTAATCCTGCTGTATCGCAGAACAGCACCATTGCTTTCTCTCACTTTTATTTCTTTTTGGAAGAGTGTGCAGGTTGCCCTGATACCAAATTGACTAACAGGAGTGAGAGAAACAGCTATTTGCTGCTGATAGATGCAATATTACACATACAGTCACTGTGAGAAACTAAAATGTTTATTTATTACTATTTCTGTAGTATTGTTTAAAAAGTCAAAAGGTCAGATATGGTGGCAACAACGAATAGCATGTATTAATTAGATGCAATTGTAAAGACAAGTTCCCAGACAACATGTGAGCTGGGATCAACCTGGTCATTAACAGGACACTCAAATATTTGATAAAAGTGAGACCGCATATCTGGTTTGATAAGCTCAACTACAGGCGTTATCACATGTATGTTCTTACAGTGAGGAGAGAAAGTATTAATATAAGTGAAGCCTGTAGCAGTCTCTATGGTTACAGCTAACATTTTCTAATATAAGCCATTGTCTTCAGATGCTTAAATTTCCATGTTTCAACTGCTTAGGCTGAAATTTTCCATCACTGCTCATTGTTTCCAGGTGAATTCTCTAGCAATGAGGTTAGCAAATGTACTGAAGAATTCTAGCAGATTCTTATGCTGAAACAACGATTGGAAATTTGGCAGGGACTCAATATTATCATCTGTTACCATCCTCTGAAATTTACCCCATGGCTTGGTGATTTTAAAAGACTCAGCAGATCCTGCTAGAGGTTTTGTGTTGAAATTTCCAAATGTGACATCTACAGTGGACAAATCAGTCTCAGCCGGCCACTACCAAACACTGCCAGACCCACTTAGCTGTGCACAACCCCAAAGTCCTGCAGAATGTGGGGTTCAAACAGGGCACGTCAACTCTGCCCTGCCTCTGAGGGATTGTACCTAGGGGTTGAGAAATCAGAAGGCAGTCTAAATTTCGTATCTGCAGCTCTTCAACTGAGTATGTTACAAATAACTGGCTCCACCCCACCGGTATTCTGGCAGACTTCATATTCGTCCCAACAGCAGAGACCTGTGCAGTGGATCCAAACACCCCAAAAGTCAGAACAGTCATTCTGTAGGACACCAGTTTCTGTGAAAGAGTTACTAATAACAGGCCCCAACACTATGCTGTGATAAGCATTTTAAAACCTGGACTGAAAACATTTTCTCTGAACAGTCTTGTGAAAAAGAGGTATCCAAGCCTGTTTATCTCCCACCAGCCCATATACTGTAAGGTATTATGTGCTATCACCACCATGTATGCGAGATTCTGCTCATCTAAACTGTGACATATGGAGGGAAAATAGATTCTGTGTCCTATGCTTTGGGTCAGAGGAGCCAAGATGTTCTAGATCTACCCAAAGAGGTTCTTTAGCCAAGCTGGGATCTTAGGCAACAGCTGCTTCTTTCTGCAGTATCTTTACCACTCTGCCACTGTTCACATCTTCATTCACTACTTTTTCTATTTTTCAGGGCTTGGGTGGTTTGCTAAATTTAAACTTTCTGAATACACAATTACTCCAAGCTATTCCTGATTTCCTAATTGACAAACTTTAACCTCTTCAAAGTATTTACAGAATAAGTGACTGGTTGCTACTCTTGTGCATTGCAGGTGTCCTGTGGTTATCAGTAGTATCCGAGGTGTTATACATCATGCTGTTAGTCGTCGGATTCAGCCTTATGTGCCTCGAGCTCTTTCATTCAAGCAGCGTGATAGATGGGCTCAAGCTAAATGCCTTTGCTGCTGTCTTCACTGTGCTTTCAGGTATGAACCTTCCCTTTCCCCTTTGCCCGAGGAGGCACAACAAAATCAAGTTCTAAAACTTTGAAAGAATAAAAACCAGCGGCTACAAGGCTCTTTTATCCCCATTTAGCTATCGCATTTTCCGCTACAATTTTTTGTTCCTTAGGAACAAGGACCACATGATAAATTTGCCTCTTGCCAGGGAGAAGTGAAAATACATATTCCTTATTTCACAACGGCAATGCAGTAGTTAGCCTTCCCCCAGCCCACATAGCCATTACCATAGCCATAGCCTGACCGTCCATTTTCAGCATCATCACACTGATTATTCAATGGAAGATGAAAAACGTAGTGTTGAAAATAATTTTTTCCATGTTAATCCTAAAAGTAGGTGAAGGTTTGATGCTTCAAACCAAAGAAAGAAGCCCATCTTGTTTATTAGCAAAATTGAGAATGGAAAGGGTTCTAGTAATCGCACTTAGGAGCAACCCCAAGAGTAATCTGGGGACATAGACATCTCTCAGAACAACTGTTTCAGGCTATTTTCATGCTCAGTCTGTACTTGGAGCCCTTCAGCATATGAAGTTGAGGAATTCACTTCTCTAAAGTTATGAAATCTAACCACGTAATTAAGTGCCCCTTCGCTTCTGTGCTGGCTAAAAACTCCACTTCCCAGGATTTATACAAGCAGCCAGCCACATCTGGCTTTTGTGAGCACTCCTGCATGGACCTCTCTGGTGGAAAGAACTTCCGCAATGAAAGTGCATTTTATTTGGCTGTATTTCAAGATGAAAGAGATTATAACAGGCAGTGTACATTCTGTGAAGGAGTTTGTATCTTCAGGGAAAGCTTCAAATTGTGAAATACTGTTAGTGGTATAAAACTTAGATCAGAAGTAGAGCTGAGAGGAGAAAAATAATCTGGTAAAACCTGTCAAAGGATATTTTTCAGCTTTGGATGTAATTTAGATTTTAAAAAAAAAAAGTCAGTTCAATTTTCAAAATCAAACTATGAGTAATTCTTCAGCATTCAAACAATTATTTCTATGCTGTTACTCTTTCGCTTCACCATTAACTGCAGTTTTAAAGTTTTGTAAGAATTATGAAGTTTTCTTTCCTACACATCTTTCTATTTTTATTTTGTCCTTCCCTCTTTATAAGTACATTGCCATGATGTTCCAAATATAAACTTTAAAATTTTACAGGGAAAAAGGATAGCAAAATAAGAAGAAGGAAAAAAAACCCCAAAACCCAAGACACTGCTAGATGTTATTTTCAGTGACAGAGATATCAGAGGAAAGAAGAAAAGCATATTTATTTTATTTATTTAAGCTTAGCATATTTATAATGACACAGCTTAATAGAAATTAGGTAATGAAGAGGACTTTGCCTTGGAGCAACACACCTCTCATTAAATTCATGCTAGAGTTCCCTACTAAAAGTGCAATGGGATCTTCATATTCTCATGGCTCAACATCTAAAGGTTACAAAAAATTATCCTAACAGTGTGGCCACTTATTGCTGTTTCTTAACCTCTTATGAGTCATTAAAAAAAACTCACAACATTGTGATTTTTGTACCCCTCATACAAATTTAAAAACTTACATACATTTCTCATGTAATATTTATAATAAAGCATTTTAATTAATGTGTTATCTCATAAATAATATTTTTAGAAAAGATGTCTGAAAAATGCTTTAAAATATATTGTCTTTTCCAACTTTAGTTCCTTAAGCTCTCCCATTACTGACACCTAGAAACAGCTCTAGTCCTGCAAAGCTAATGATCTCAAGCCAACTATAAATGGTCAGTGTTTCTGCACTCCCATCCACCATTTTATCAGGATTTTCCATCTTCAAGCATCTGCTGCCCTGGACCCCAGGTGGGTGGGCATACAGGCATTTTGTCCTCTGTCCAGCCTTAAGCAGCCAGTTGGAGGAAAAGATGACCTTGTAAACACAGCATTTGTTGATTTATTTTACAGGCAGTTCATTTCATCCAAAATGTGACCATTAAATGTACAACCAAAAGTACCATAGGATATCCCCATGGAGAACTTCACAAGGCATATCTAAAACAGACCAAACAGATGGGTGGAGTCAGGAACAAACCAAACCAAACGCGCACGAAGCCGCACATGCGAGAAAGACTCGTATTGTTTTGCTATACGTGGCATAATGCCACTGACAGCACAGCCAGGTATATGCCCACCCCGACCCTCCCCACCATTAGGCAGATAAAGCAATAAATGCCACGTTTTCACTGCGGTCCCTGTGTTGCAGCAGGACTTGCTGATGACCTCCTACTCACTTGTATCAGTGGACTGTCACCCTGGCCTCCCACATAGCGAAAGGTCTGAACATTGCTGAAACCCCATTCGGGTTTTGCGCGACAGAACAGAGCAGACCAGCCTTGCTGAAGCTGGTCCTGGCCGTGTCAAACCTTCTGACGGCTTTGAGTGACTATGACATGTCTCAGGGCAGTCTGTAATATTTTCTTAAGGTTGAAAAATTACTGACAGTAGGTATAGGAACAGCAAACCCCAAACTTTAAGATCAATGCCCTAACTGTCAGCTGGAGAAAAATCCACTGATTTAAAAGTACAGCAAGCTCCCAGTGAATTCTGGAAATTAAATATAGCCAGAAACAAGCAAGGTGTGTACCAGTTTGCTGTGCTCCCATTAGGCCGCCCACACTGCCGAAATATTACTTCTTCCGATGTGAATTGCTCTTTCCACCTCCTAACTTTGCAGTGTGTCACACCGACATGAAGCAGCTGAGCAAATCACCACAGCTTCTTGTATTAAAATGTCTTCTTTCAGCCTCTGCAGTTGTTTGTATCAAATATGACATTTCTCTTGCTGAAGGTCCTGCTTAACATACCCACAACACAAACATGACATTCCCCAACTTCCCTCCTCCAGAATTGCCCTGAATCATCCACATGTCTGGTGAGACTAATGAAGTGCTTTAGAATCTGAAAGTAAGCAGGAAAGAAGAGTCACAATTTCCATCTGGGGAGGGAAAATCAGGATCTTCCACATGGAGGAAGGGCAACTGTGGAAAAAAAGTAGATGGTCAGAGAGAACAGTAAATGGCGACTTTGGTTAAGGTGCAAAGTGTGACGTATGGGACCGCATTGTACCCCACTGTGGCAGAACATCAGTATTTCTAACTTGAACTGTCCTTGAACTGTCATTGCAGCACAAGGGCTTTTTGACGTCTGTAGGTCCAAGGTCTATTTGGGATACGATGATCCTGCGCCACTCTTTAGCTAACTGCCTGAACCCATGCTTTTCGTGACCTCAGCTGGGAGCTTCATTCTGCACTGCCTAAGTACTAAAGCAGACACATCCCACATTATTGTAGCTAGAAAATTCTCCAAGCATCAGAACTGCTCCTGGCCACCACTTCCTGAAAAGTGGGGTTTGATTTTCCTCAGAGGGATGTCTAAATGTGAAGTTCAGGCAGTTTTTTTCTGCTTAAGTTGAAGATCCATGCTGGCCAGCTAAGTGGCAGAGCAAACTCAGGCTACCCTGTGATTTAACTGCAACCCTGTTCTTTAACATCACTGTGAGCAGAGTGTCTAATACATTGTCTAATCTTCACCCAGTTGTAGTTGTCTCAGCAAAATATAATGGTGTCACAAAAGCAACATTGTACCCTCAAAAGTTTTCCTATGGTGTCCTCTCACCACACATCATGAGGAATACTGAGTTCACTTAACTTCCTTGTGTAACTTCCAAGTGTTTTATAAGTGTTCAAATTTATAAATCTTAGCAACTGTTCAGATAAAATATTGTTGTTTGTCATTAACACATTCAATCTTGCATTGCCTACAGAAGCCTCTCTCCTTATTCTCTTACCTGAGGCCTGTCTGCTATAGGCTAACTGAGATAACTTGTGGGTGGCATACCCCTGTTTTGCAGCAGCAAGGTTGGTGGTGATGCTAATTGTGCAACATTTTCTTCAACGATTTTCTTTCTTTAACTCTTCTCTTAATTGAGAATTCAGTATGATGTAAAATAATGAGCTCTCAGTCACACCTTTCCTCTGCCCATGCAGCTCCCTCCTCCACAGTAGAATAGGAGGCATAAAAGTACAACAAAGACTTTTCTGGAGCTTTCAAAGCACTTCCAGCAGTAGCTATCTCAAGAATTACAAAAAACATTAGCACAAAAATTCCTATTATAATCCCTGCTTCTCAGGTCTCTTGGGGATGGTGGCACACATGATGTATACTCAAGTTTTCCAAGTGACAGTCAGCCTTGGGCCAGAGGACTGGCGACCACATTCATGGGACTATGGATGGTCCTTCTGGTAAGTGTCACCACCAGTTAATATCTTCATTTTTGAGTTGTTCTGTCAGTCTGTTGGGAGATTGTACGTATCATCTCAAATTTCCAGGAACATGTATGTGAATTTCCAGCTGCCAAAATGCTGGGAGCAAAAAAACCACCATGGCCATACAATTGTTGAGGTGTAGAGGACAGTTATCGGTGACTGTGCAGCAGCAGCTGTGCATATCAGCAGGTACATAGCACTTGTAAGTAAACAGCAGCCACAATTACCAACACAGATTGAGCACTCTCATTAAAGTTCAATTTAGGTACATAATTGCCATGGCATTTCAGAGACTTTTAGCTTTTGGGGGAGGGGGTTGGTTTTTAATTAATGTCTCAGCTGAACCTTACAGTGCAACTTTTAACAAAACCGCAGAGGAAGGCGAAGTGCTCCTGGCACCATGATACTTCCTTGTGGATCATGGGGAAAAGACTTGGGAAAACTGACACAACATTTGGAGACTGATTTTTTTTTTTTTTTTCTTTTCCCATTTATCTTCTAACAGTCACATAAAAATAATTTGGCCAAGATACATCAACTGTGTTATAATGCTTGCAAGTTTATAAGAAGCTTAACAAGAATAGGAGACTGTGGAGAATAGAAATACCTGCAAACAACATTCACATCCCTCTAGAGGCATCAGTCTCTTTGGATAGCTAGGGAAAATACTTTCTTTTTTTAATTTCTAAATATAGCATATTATTTTCATTCCACCTCAAAGCAGAGACAACAACCTTTGCTAACACCAATAAATAAATACAAATACTTCTTATGCACAGCACTGCAGGGAATTACTAGTCTTTCCTTCTCCCATCACCATACTGTGTTTCATGGGAGGAGTTACAAACATTTTAGTAACATATTACAAAATATAAATCACATTATATTTAAAATGCAGCTTATTTTGTGTATCAATAATGAATATTTATTGCATATGTTGATGAATTATAAATATACTGCATTCATATATTTATAATATTTATATAAATATTTATAACAATTCTGTCATAATTGCATAATTATTAATATATGTAAATAATAAGGCATATTGTCTATTAATTTGTCTTCAGTAATCTATTTTATAATTTACTGCAATACTCAAAATTCAGAATGTTGTTAAATGTCTAGCATGATAGAGCGCTCATTAGATTATTCTCCTTCATCTTGTGAAAGACAAGAAACCCCACGTCTCAGAACAGGCACCAGAGGCTCGTGGGTCCAGTAAGGCATTATGAGCCCTCTCTGTGCCCACTCATCCCTCCCACGCTCCGAGCGAGCTGTTCCGAGCCCAGCATCCCGTCCTGCGATGGCAGCTCAGCGCGCTGTCTGCTCTCCTAACCACAGCTTTGTCCCAGAGCAAACGGCGTATCCCCTGCCTGCAGCTCCCCCCAGGCAGTCACAGCCCCAGCACAGCAGGCTGGGCTTTAAAGACCAGCAGCTTCTCAGATTTGGTAATCTGCCTTCCAGGGCAACATACTTCCCTATGTGGGACGCTGGGCCAGGTGCAAACAGCTCGGTCACAGCTCCCCTGGGACACAGGTGAACAGCAGCAGCATTTTCAGCCTGCAGTGGTGCTCAGCAGCCTGAGGAAGGCCATGGGGTTCCTCATGCCATGCCAGTGACTGGCAGCAGATCTGGCAAAGGAAGGTCTGAAAGTCAAACACAGCAAAAACAAGGCTTCTGCCTTCCAGCTAACACTGAACTACCACTGCTGTACAGACTAGAGAGCTACAACCTCCCCTGGCATCGCCCAGAATTGAACACCTGCTTTTAGAAGGGTTAAAAACAAATGCCCACCAGCCTGGTGGAGTTTGGAAACTCTGCACATGTAGGAGTTTCCTTCTGCTCCATCTTGGTTCAGGTGACGGCCTGAAGCGTGAGCTTTAAATGCCCCTGAACCAGCAGCGCAAACATCAGCGTTATTTACAGCCTTCTATAAAAAGCACCACTGCAGCATCCTGTGCTGTGTCAGAGCACAGAATTGTACCACCACTGAAAAGGGGGGCCAGGGAACAGCTTCCCCATGGCCACGAGCCAAAGGGCATGAGTGGAGATCTAGACTACCATTCATTTCCCAAGTGCCAATAGGAAAACTATTTTTTCTGTTCAAAATGAGGAAGGGCTGCTTGTGATCTACTCAGATGTCCCAGGGTTGAAAATGCACCACTTGTTCCCTGTTACTTTACCCCATTCCCAAGCCAGTAGCAAAGCCTTGAGGTTGGTCTGTGCCCTGGCACAAGCCAGGAGTGGGCCAGGGGATTCTCCAGGCACAGGCTTTCAGTGGTGCTGAGGATCAGTGGATGTTGAAGCTCAGCCCCTCTAGAAAGAAAAAAATACAAAAACCTGAGCTGTTTGAGTGACAGAGGAACTTGAGAGCGCAGCTCTAAGCTCAGCTACCAGAGGCACTATAGGTACAGTCCCACCACGTCTGGGGCACAGGTGGCATGGAGGGACATTGCTGTTAAAGAGGTCTTCACCTAAGGTAGGATGTAACTCTTACAGGTAGGAGGAGAACCACTCTTCACACTTAAATAACATTTAACCAAGGTCCATAAAAGCTAAAACATACCAGTCGTAATTGTCTCATTATTATGTTTTACCAAATGCCAGACCAAAGGTCACCCTGAGAGTCTTCATTCTGTATTTCCTTCTCTGAACCTTTCAGCATTTCTGAGTTAATGATTAGAAATTATCAGAAACTTTCAAGAGAAACTTTTCTCTGTATGTCATTCCCCAGGGACCAGCCAGGCACAGTGAAGCATGTGGTTTCAGCTGGCTTCTTCCTTGATATTTTTTAGGAGCCCAGCTGGAAATGTTTGGAGCTGTTGGAGCTTTTCCACACACTCTGTGTCAGAGGAAGACACTTGCCAGGCTTCCCTGTGCCTGGACACTCACACATAGCACGAGTTTCCTTTCCACTTCAGTGGGAAACCTAAGGGAACTTCATCTCCACAGGATTCACTACACTTCCTTCTCATTTGATTGCATCAGGCAAACAAGTTCAAAAATGACTAGGAAAGGGCTGCCTCCACACACTTCATTGCTATGGGAGTCCCTAAAGGACTTGCTACGCACTGAATTTTGAAATCATTGAAATGAGCCATTTCTGTTTACTTGAACCATTTTTTTCCCAGGTTTCTCAGTTCATGAATATGTGTTCTTTTTCAAGTTTTGTCTAATTTGAAATTAGAAATGGTCTCCTTTTCTGCAGATCCTTTGCAGAATGGGAAAACCAGCTTATGCTGAGGGCTCTGTTGATAATGCGTATTTATAAGATAATGCTACTGTGGCTGTATTCTTTATGTTCTGCATAATTTATATCAATGTTCAATTTGGTTATAGAAAAGGGGAAAGCAAGAAGCAGGTAAAGTGTGGAGCTGACACAGATGATTAAGTTAATCCGAGTTAGTTAGGAAGCCACTGTGAACTATATGTAGCTGGAGCTGATGGGCTGAATGTGAAGTCAAGGGGAGCCTGAACGCAGATAAGCTCTGCAGACAAAAGGAGGAATTCAGTGCTTTTTTTGCAGCCCCATTTCATGCTCAAAAAGCATCTAAACTCCTTGGGGCCATGAGTTCCCCCCAGCCACATTCTGAACGTGAGATCAGTGAGGTAAAGGCTGAAGGAGAGATGTGGAGGGAGGGCAGAAGGCACCAGGGGAGAAACCCAAGTCCACGAGCAGGGAGCAGAGCAGCTCCCAGCTGAACTCTCCTTACCAGGAGACCCAGACAACACTTGCTGCTTTTCCAGCCTGGCATTGGGGCAGTCACTTTTTTTTGTCCACTTTCCTTCTCCTTTTGTCTCTCCATGCTCCTGGTTGGTACTTGCAGGTGTCCTGCCACTGGCTGACCAAGATTGGCTAGCACTGCCTGCACACTTGGGGCACTGCCCTCAGATGCAATCTCTCCACAAAATGGAAGTGCTGTTTTCTATTCTGGTCAGGCTTTCAGAGACCAGATATAAGCCAGGAATGCTAGAAATGTCCATGAACCAGGAAAGAAGGAAATACAGTAGTCTCATGAAGGCATAAAAAACAGAATAGAAACCACCCCTGCAGTTGCATTGTGCAGTCAGTTTCCCATGGATGCTGGAGAACTTCCACTGGTCCAAAAGACATGTTCTCTGGGGCATTACTCCTTCCAGGAGTTCCTTACTGCTTTATAGATTTTAGCACTTGTCTGCAAGGCTCTGAAACATTTCAAAGGGAAATCAAGAGGTGTTCAACTCTTCTGTCAGTGTGCACCGTGTGTTCACATTAGCACTCTGCCACATGGTTCTCCATGGGATGAAAGTCATGCCCAGCCCCTAGCCCAGCGTCCTGCCTGCATGCCTGAGCGTGTGCCAACAGGTCATTTGAGGTAAGATGAGGAGAATGGGTTTGTCACCACTGACTTACCTGCCTAGTCACATCCTGTGTATGTGTGTCTCTTGGCGTCAGAAATATAACATGAGCTGCTGTCTTAACCCAGCTCTGTCTGCTGGTTTCTCTCTCCACAGTCTGGCATGGGGCTCTTTCACCTGCTGCATGGCGGCCTCCGTTACTACCTTGAACTCTTACACTAAGACTGTCATTGAGTTCAGACACAAGCGCAAAATCTTTGAGCAGGGCTTTCGAGAAGAGCAGAACTTCCTAGACCAGGAAGCCATCAAGTACTTCAGAGAAAGGTCAGTGCAGTCAGTCGCTCGATCAGTGGAGGATTTCATGGACTCTGCTAGTCTCAGAAAATCCAGGCTCTCACCCTTTTCAGCGCATGTGGGTGACGTTTCTGAGATACTTGGAGAAGATGTGTGTTAAAAACAAACACAAAAGATCCTCCTTGATCTGTTTTTTTCTTAAATTTTGTGATGTCCCAGTGCCTGCCTTTTCTCATATACTCATTAAATACAAAACTCACAAGTCCTTACAGTATGCATCTGATCCATAGCAATTCATAAAAGCTATGCTGCCAATGCAAGCCAATATTCCCTCTCTGGAAAGGTAAAACTGTGGCAATATAACAAATGTTACAGCCATCCTTTCTCAGCACATGTAATAGGCACCTCCTAATAACCCTAATGGCTGCTGAGACATTTTCCAGCCACCGCTAGGCCACTTTGGAGTTGCCATCTTCCATAGTCACACGCCTCCAACCCATCCTAGGCTCCTCCACACAACCCATCCTCCTGAGCTCCTCCACACAAATACAGCGCATACATTATATGCACTGCAGGAACATCCACACAGTGCCACCCACACTGCTACCAGGGTCTTAGATGGACTCTAAGAAGTCCTGTGTGAGCCCTGAAGGCCCAGAGAGGCTCCTTCACCCTGCCCCTCGGCGCACACTGCCCACCTGCCACACCGCTGACCCCATGCACTCTTAGCTGGCCCATGAGGCTGCACTGGGATACTTGCCACCCTCATTCTTTCGTGAGAAGGTTAAGGCTTTGCTTAAAATCGCAGAATGTGAAGAACACACAAATATTGACCTCGCACAGCAGGGAAGGTGTGATGGACTCCATTGGGGTACCTTTGCGGAATGAGGAGCTGATAAGTACAGAGAATCCTCACCGAAAGCCTATTGTTGGAAATAATGTAAAGATATTTTGGGGGCAGAAAACATAAGGACGATTCATTCTTGTTCTTCTGACCAATGTGGCAGTTTCTCAGTGATAGAAGAGAGTTGTTGGGAAGCTCTGGAAATGATCAGACACTTCAGTATCAAAGTGAGGAGCTCTACTGAGCAGGAGGAACTAGAGAACTTCCATGTTTATTACTTTGCTTCGGTTACCCAACCTTAACTAACAGTCTCTGTTTTTACAGTTATTCTTCTGCCAACTTCCAAGTTATCACTCCACCTTTCAGACAGTCTGGAAGGATGAGAGAAATGATTCAAACAACCATGACTTTCCTAATTTTGCATTTAGACATGACAGTGAATTTTAAAATATACTATGTGTGAGAAAAAAAAACAACCCAAACACAGTGAAGAGGAAATGGTCAGCATGTGCCTCAGGAGAAATCAACACTCAGTGAGGGAAAACAGTCAGCTGAGGGAAAGCAGTCAGCCGAATTAATGAAGTGAGAATTGCAGATGAGAGACCAGCAGAACTGTAAGCAACTGAGCGTGTTATGTTACACTGGGAAATGCTAAGGAAACTACGCACCACTGCGCCCCTTTCTGGAACCCTAAATAGTAAAAAACGTTAATGGCATAGAGGACAGTTATCCTCTTTATCTCACACAGGTATTGTGCAGTTTGATTTTGATTCCTCTTGCACTCACCATATTACACAACCTCTCCCCCTCTCCCCCCCCCCTTTTTATATACATGTAAATCAATACCACATAACATTTTACAATCAAATCCATGTTGGACTAGTTGTAATCTGAGAGACCTTCACCTCAACATGCTAGATAGGTGAAGGGCCCCAAGGAATGACAAAAAGCCAAATGCAGCATCAAGGCTTTTTCAGGTCTCTTGGAAGGAAAGTCAGAACTTACCTACCCAACTAGCAGGGTATTTAACACACATATGCCCAAGGCAAGTGACAAGTCCCACCTTGGCCAGTACAAACCAATGTGGTTTTTAACTCTTATTTTATATGTATCGTTCAAAACAAGCTCCATACTAGGCAACATGCATATAGAACAGCCTGTTCCCTGTGACTGCTCTGTATACTGGTCAGAGCCGCCCTGACGAGTATACAGAGACAATGCTTCATCTCTACCACTTGCTTTATGACTGGACCGAATATTTTGTTCTGTCCTTCCAGCTTCCTTGCTCATTTTAAATTTGTGTGAACAATTCACTTGTCGGTCACATCCTCCAAGCCCCTCCACACACACTTGGCAAGCACAGCTCAAGCATGTGGTGTTCCCAAACTTCATGATTATGACTTTCTTTTTTTATATCACATTATTTTAATTGTTGTATCTGAATACCTAATAAGAAGCCCAGAGACAGTGTTACCATGGGATCATTCCAGAGATTTAAAGCTTTGCAGCATTACATCCTTTTTTTTTTTTTAGGTTAGCATATTCATGATCAGCATCACTACTGTAACTTGGGAATACTCGGACACTGCCCGGGGTCCAAGGGTCATCAATTAGCAACACGATGTTGCTACATGCTGTGAGTGCCAGCAGTCCCAGCAAGCACACAACTTTCCCTGGCTCCAATCTTCCTTTGCACAAATAGAAAATGACTTAAATCCTCTTTCCTTCCTGTGCATATACCCAGGGATACTTCACATTCCCTCCTACTCCTACACCTCCATGTTCCTTTTCATACCTCATAAATAAAACCCTCCAGCCTTTCTTCCTTCCAGTTCCTTTGTACATATCACTACCCTCTTTTCATGTTCCTTTGCCTCAGTACACATCCAGCACCCACTGTACGCACACATCCAGCCTCTGTGTTGACTAGACTTCATGCAATAGGCAGTTTTCTAAGAGCAATAAATTTCTAGTGAAAGTTAAAGCTTAATCATTATTCCCAACAGCTGCACTTTATCTTCTGGGAGACAGGGAAGAAAAGCATCAGCCCCATTTTGCCTGATAAAAGTTTTTTGTTGGAATATTCTTCTACAGGCCCCTGCTCCCAGAGAAGAAACTTGCTTTATGAAAAATACTGACAGTAAAATACCACTAATCTTGCAAGTACTTTGTCGAACACAATATCATTGTACTTCACTTAATTTTAATCGCATGTAACTGCATGTAAGAACAGAAGATTTACTGGAGACGTATTAGATGAAAGAGCTGAAATGCTCTCTTGAGAGCTCCCAGTTCAAGAAGTGTGCACCACATTCACCACCCAGTGCAGGAGATGCAGGGGATAAGCCACATCAACGCACGGCTTGCTGTCCTGACCCCCTCCTTCTCCATCGGCTCACCCCATCCCCTCCCCTAGCATGTCAGCCTTGCACGGTCTGCCTAACTGCTGCTTGTTAACTCCTGTCTCTGCATCCTAAGAACTGCCTCAGCTGTGAAGAACATAGGAAAGACCTTTAAAATGACACGAATATATGTGTACTCCCCAAATGCTGCTCCACAGCCTGGTTTGATTCCACCTTAAATGGCGCTTATAGTTATGCAGCCTAAGTCCACACATAAGCACAACCAAGTCGCAAACAGACAGCTTACACAGAGGGAACCAAATTCTCCAACTACCTGCAACTGCAAAGACACAGACTTTGCCTCTCAACAGCTAAGCATCTTACTGTTTCTATCACTGGGGAAACTTTTAAACAGCTGCTGAAAAATCAAAGATTCATGGTGTTACATTCAACAATTATTTCCTTCCCAGGCCTGGGATACTTTGAAAAGTCCAGACAAAATAGTCTCTGTAGGTCACACCATAAAATCAAAAGATATTATAGCTCTTCAGATAGAAAAGATATGATAGTTCTTAGAGTTACTCTAAGGAGAAAAGGTAAATGATACAGGCTTGGAGGTATTATTCATATATTAAGTGTTCTAAAAAATTATCAGTAGAATTATCTGCAACATGTCAGCTTTCAGTCTTTGCCCTATTATTGATTGTCCTCCCTTTTTCTCTGGTTTTCCTTTGAACTGAATATTTGTCTACATCTTTTGCTTATCTTTTAAAATATTTTAGGTTTTTAGGTGTCAATTACTAATAAGTATCTCCCTTCCTTCCCTCTCAATTTCCCTTTCTTCTCTGTTTCATATGAATACTCTTGCCCCTTTGATCTTGAGCATGGTCAATTGTCTACAGTTCACACCAGCTAGCAGAGGAGGAACCCTCTATATACCTTTCTGCTTCCTTTGCTCTGAGGATTCTTACAGATAAGTCAAAGGGACAGGGTTTCTTTGTTATCTCCTATATAGTCTGATATGCTATATGTGACAGTCAGCTGAAGGACTGTCAATGTGCCAGGATCTTCTCCTCTTCCACTGCCCAGCTATTTGGCTTCTGTAATGCCCTGCAGCACACAGATAGCAGCTCCAGGACTGCTGTCCTTTTGCTACTGCCTGCTGCCACGGAGAAGTAGCTGCTCCACAGTGGGGTCATGCCATGACATCCCACATTTTCCTCCCTACCCTGCACAAGTGTACCTGTAAGGCCATAAGAAAATGAGACCCACAAGCAGGGGCCTGGGGTAACCCTTCCAGTGCAGCACTAACTTCAGTGCACCCAGACTATCAAATCTAATAAATGCGCACCCATCTAGTTTGGGGGTTCTAAAAAGGCAGTGAAAGGAAGGCAAGATGGAAATTGGTAGCAGACGTAGCAGTTTAGCAGCTTTGCCCATATGACTGTGTAATAATTAGGACGCACTCACAAGAATTGCGCTCATTTAGACCAACTGGCTACACCGATACTATAGTCACATCCATTCAGGCAAGGGACAGTGCAGCTAGGTTATTCACATTGAATGTTTTTCCCAAGTTTGTCCCCAGTTTCTTGCCTTCTTTTTTCATGTATTAAAAAATCCCCTTGCAGCCACTCCCCATCACCTTTCCTTGCTCCCAGAACTCTGGTGGACTTTGCTTTCAGGTAAAGAACAAAAACTTTCCTCTCTGCTTCTTTGGTATGCTGGAGGAAAGGCAGAAAGTGTTGGTGGGGCAGATGGAGACCCTAGGGCAATAGTCACCACTGCCAGAACAAGGATGGTTGTAGCTACGGGGAGGAAGATCTGGGGCAAAGGAACATAGAGGCTTGGGGTGAGAGTATGTGAGTATTGGAGCCTGGGGTCAGGGATAAGGGGTCTGAAAGGGTGGAAATCAAATGCAGGTAAGATCCTTGTGGACAGCTAGTCACTGCCTTGAGCAAGGAATAAAAAGTTAGTGAAGTGATACAAGAAAACTTGAATTCCCCATTGCTCTCTGTTACTGTTGACAAGAGGAGAAAGAGTAGCAGCTTTTGGAAATGCATCCATGCCTGGTCAGGCTGTGTGAGGGGCAGGGGTGTTGAGTCCCATTGGAACTGAAGCCACTGCAGACTGGGGTAAGAAGGTTAGCCCACCCCGGCACCAGTGGGAGAGGGGACCCTAGAGATCAGCATAGCCTTGTCTCCAGTCTGATATCCAGCCTTTTGCTTGCTGTGAAGCAAATCTCACTTATTAGATGCTGTTAAACCAACAAACAAATTCAGCAAGTAAATCTGGAAGATTCAGCCTTCCACAGTTCACTCATCCATAGCACAACATTTGCCAACTTGCAGCTGTCCGTCAACACCCATTTGTAGTATTGCAGCTGATTTCACAACATTTTTCTTGCTGACTGAGCCCTTACTCTGATCTGCAAAACCAACCCAACATCAGGCAGATGCTACTGGTGAAATTCTAGAGTGAACTGAGTTCAAACTGCCATTGATACCAGTGCAGACAAAACGTCTCTGCAGGGATAGAAAATGCAGGTTTGAAGTGCTAGGAGCAGTCTGAAACAGACAGCGGGACCAAAGCTATTGCAGAGATAATAAATCAGGACCATTCCCAACCTTTTGAGAATCAGAACTTTTCAAATCACCATTCACATATGCTATTTGTTCCTTTTTTGTACATTTCTCTAATGCATCTTACATCTTGCTTTCTCTAACTCCATTGTACTCATATAAGATGTTGTGCAGATCATATCAACGCTTTCCAAAGACATGCCAACCTTTTGCTCTGATTTCCTCCTTGGTCACCTAAATATCTGAACAGGTTTAAGCTACTGACCTACCATACTTCCCATTTACAGAGTCAGTATCTTTTCACATGGACATCTATAAGAATTTCCAATCTGACTATTCACCTTTCATTAGCACACAGGGATGAGTGTAACGTTCTGCCTTGGATTTATTCTGTACTTTATTCTGCAACACAGGAAGGTTTATCCGCAGAGCTGTTCCTTCTGGAAAATTACATGGACTGGCAGTTAAATGGTGTAGCACTAGCAACATACCCACTTCCAACACACACGTACTGTACAATGCTGTTAGTCCCCGACGCTTAGATTCATCCTGAAGAGTGAAAGAGTGGGAGAGATGCAGCCCTGAGCCCCTCATTTCTATTCCCCATGGCCTCTTTACATGAGCTTTCCCCTGAAAGCCAATGGAACCGAGTCCTTCCTGAGACCATTATGATCTCCATAATGGGCCTGGCTGGCTATAGAGGGAGGAGCCCAGGTATGTTGTACTCCTATTGATTTTGACCCTTCCATTTCTGTACATTTGGGAGCAGCCTTTGTTTCTGTTAAAGGTGCTACTTCTATATTCTCTTTTCCAGGACTGAGGAGGAGAGGGCTGAGGCTGGGGACCTGAGGTTACAGTGCCTCCATAGCTGCTCCCCAAATAGTAAGTGACCATGGCTCGAATATATCCGACACACAATGGCTTGTACTGTCCCCACGCCGGCTCCTTGGGGTTAAGAATAAGGTTTGGAGTAGGAAGCTGTGGAAATAGAGGTTTGTAACTTTCCCAGACAGTGTTGCCCAAATGATAATCAACTCGCATATGAACAGTAAAAAATTCTCCAGGATTCAATTTAGGATGTGCACATATCCTATAATTTTATGTTATCTCAAGAAGCTGTGACTTCATAGTAGTTTAAAAATATGCTCTAATTTACACCTGTATAACTTTCATTATCACTACCTTTTTTCATCTATATTTATCACCAATTCATGATGATGCATGCTATTGAATATAAAAATGATTGAAAGCAGTTTCGGTAGACAATAATGTTAGCATAATTAATGCCATTTCTTGCACTTACTTACTCAGAAAATTGCTATGCTTTTATTCAGTGCTTGCAAAAATTCTTATTTTAAGCTATGGGAATCAGTGGTTCAATGTACAGAGCAATATTGGAGCATGGCTCCTGCCCTGCTCTGAATACTATACTTTTCCTTTACTCTCCAGGAAAGATGTGTGCCGTTTCATGCATCTATTTCCTTGCAAAGAAAGCAAATGATTCTTCAGTCAGCAGGAGGGAGACTTGGGAAAGCGACTTGCTGACTCTGCGCTATTAAATTTTGGAAACCTCATAGCATTTTGCTGCCTCTGTCTTGCTGAGATGCATGTCTCAGCCACATACTTATTGAAGCTTGATGTCCATAAACCTAATAATTGAGGGTCCTGATCCCCCATCAGACCTGCTGGAACAGCTCTCCAGTCCCATGTCACTGCAGGTGGTCTCCTCACAGGCATGATAGTGCTAGCACTGCTTTCCAGCTCGGTTTGTCATCAGCTCACTTGGTAACTCCTGCTCCTTGAAAATGTCATGTCAGTTATGGACCTTTCCACAGGCAGATCCACATCCTTCATTTTCACAGGCCTGAAAATGTCTATTAGTACAAAATTGATCTGGGTCATATTTCCCAAGAAAATTCCCTACCTGCCAAGCTACTGGCTAGTGCTCAAATGTGCTTATTTCATTATGAAGACTGTCCAAATGTCTTTGTTTCAAAGAACAAATAACAATTCTTGACATTAGGTGTTCTAAGGAATAGAAACAAGGCTCTATTGGTCCTACAGCCAGCCCTGCCCCAGTACTTCAATTTAAAGGACACATAGCTTACCTCCATAGGTGTGCTGACCGTGCTGTAAAAGCAAACTGCAAACAAGAAGTCCGGTATCAGGTTAAAGCACAGTGTCCATTCTTTGATATTGCATCAGTTTCAGCTTCATATCAGTTACCTACTGTAATGAAATCAGATCAATATCAATAAAGTGACATGAGTGAAGTTCTGCTCTCAGTTCACAGTTTACTTATGAATCCAACTTAAGCTTCAGAATCTTTGTTATTCATGCTTATTAGGGAGGAAAAAGCAGTAGTTACTGCTGCTCAGAATGGCACAAAGCCTTACAACCTTCCGATAAAAGTCTCCTTCCTGGAATAAGGCCCATTATGCCATGACTGGCCTGTACCTGATCAGAGGATTCTCCTTAATATTGTTTCTAGCTTCATATACTCCCACTCTTCTTTTTTGTATTACCCATGCAACAGGCTCACGGCCAGCAGAGAATTGTTAATGGCAAGAGAAGGACATGGGAAGTGCTTTGCTAAAGTCAGAGCAGCCGCAAAGGTTTCTCTGGCCCTTTGGTCATCCAGGGGCCTGCCTGCATGAACGAAGAGGGCACATCACCCAGAACAGACCAAAACCTCACCATTGCTCGGTCAACTCACCCCCTGCATTCCACTAGCAGAGTAAATGCCGGCAGATCATTTTGAGCACTTTGAACTCTTCACGCAGAGGTGGTCCTGTACCAGTAGGACACAAGGACGTATCACCAGATGTTATTCTGGCTGCTCGCTTCAACCAGCATTTCATTCCTTGGAGGACTTGTCAGCTGCCCTCACTTAGAAATGCTCTGGGGCTGTTCTAATTTGAACCAAACAGCATATAAGGAATACTCACTCTTCCTCAGACATCAGGCTTTTTTCTGTCTTTCCACAAAGACAAAACAGGTCATCTGGTCCTTGTTGTGAGGCAAAGATTTGGGGGGAGTGTCACTGTAAAGTGAAACGCTAAAAACTTTAAATAAAAGAACAAGACTGAGCAGTTGTAGAAGACAAACACCAGCTGGCCAGGTGATTTTAGAAAAGAGAATATTAAAGGTTTGTGAGCAGCCCAGGTCACTGAGAGAGCACAGGTAGCACAAAGGGCCTTATGCCAGGCCGGGACCAGGGGAGGTTCCTCTGTTGGCGAGACTAAGCTATCCATTTTGACAAGTGGCCTGAAATTATAAATTTAATCAGAAGGTTGATTCCAGAGGAGTCTTGATCGGGGCAATACAATATTCATTCTTGATAATTCTGTATTAAACCATTTAATGTTCATCACTAAACTATAATTTTCCTTTAAAAGGGTTTAAACTTGCCTGAGCTGGGCTAAGAACAGCATCAGGGAGCTCTAGCTATAAATTGGCATCCTCTGCTCTCACCAAGCTACCTTCCTGTGCAAACATATGGCGCTGGTCCCTATACATCTAATATCCCCAGTCATGTTTTGTTCATACCAAACTTGGCATTTCCATTGCAAAGTTCTAAACACTCTTAATAGTCTATTTGCTCTCATTTTTTACTTTGGAGGTCTCAACTTTTTCTTTCAGAAGTGCAGGGCTGGGAGATCTCAATGCACCAGTTGTGCACAGTCACTACACAAAGACAATAGAAGTTTCACATCAGGATTTCTTTTGTTATTGCAGTTATCACCAAGAAATGCTCACTGTTATTAGGCTCCAGAGCAGTTTACCTGATTTCAGACATCTATATGTCCATGCCACTTCCACCTTCTCCTCCAGTCTTCTCCCACCACTAGGCATTAATATTATGAGCCTGCTGCTTCGATCAATGTGCCTGGGACCCCCAGGGCAGATGGGAGAGGTATGGATGATAGATGTAGAACAAGGGGTAAGAGAGAGGTGGGAGAAATGTCACAAAGGACAAGGAGGGACAGGTATGGTGGCAAAGCTAAAGAGGAGACAGATAGCTCAGAAAAGCCAAGAGCTGAGCAGGAAACAGCATATACTTACTGTCTGTGGCTAAAAGCCTTGGTTGTTGTTTGAGGCAGATAAAACCAGGGTCCAGGATACCAGCTTTTCTCATAGAAAACTGAAAGACTATTCAAAATGAATTTAGCATTAAAAAAATAATATAGTCACTGTTTTGGCAGTGTGGGCATTTTAGGAGGTCCACCTGACAAAGAGGAGGCCTTCAAAAAAAAAAATTTATTCTCCTATCATCACCCTGCAGGCATTTCCTCTGGGTCCATCCCACAGCTCTTCTACCATCCTCCCACCCCTGGCTGTCTACAGTAAGATGTATGCAACCTCAGTGCTTCACTGTAAAGCACGTTGTCATTTTTTTCTATTCAAACAAGATCATCAGAAGAACTCTAGATTTAAAACATGCTGGAAATTATTCATAAAAAAAAGAATATCCACTGTTTTTAATTGGTCTCAAGTGCCACAGAAGGGAAGTGGTGCTGGATTTGCAGGCAACTTTCAAATGTCTCTATATTCAGTGCTACAAAAAGTCTATTGCACAAGCTCAGCTGGAGAGGGCAAGGCACAGACGGCAGACAAGGTCACTCTGACAACGGGGAACATGCTTTATATGCTGAGCAGCACGGGGCTGGAAGGAGGCAGACAACAAGGGCTTGACGCATTTGAAGTGTCGCTCAAAGTTGAGTCAAGGTTTCTCCTTGTGGAGGTACCTGACAGCTGCAATCACCTTCCTATTTCATGTCAGCATTGATTTCAACTCCAGGTCTTGCAATTCTTCCTGTAATTTATTCAGTTCATAGTGATTCACTACATAAAAACAGGTGGAAAAAAAATCCCCTCTGATAAAGCACCATGGTTACAGATCTAAGATCCAGTCTCGCTATATTGAAAGCGATGGGAATTTCATTCCTGTCTTCAGGCAAACCCTTGCCCACTAGGAAACTCCAAAGTTATAGGTCTCAGTTCTTTCCTCATTTATTTCTGCTAAAATCCAGACTGACGTTTTGCTTTAACAAGCTTGAGATTGCTTCTTAAGCGACCAGCACCTCTGCTTCTGAGATAAGCATGGTGATAAAAGTAAATTCAGTCCCATGTTTAGCACTGCAGCCAGTGAAAATTAAAGGGTGGAAAAGAAAAGCAAAATAAAGTGATAGTTCATAATACTTTTTTGTTTCCTCCAGTAGACAGGTGAATTAGAAATGGTTTTTATATAAATCTCAGTGAGATTAGTTATGAAATGTGTTTTCTGCCACTCTTTTAAATTGCATCTTTCAATAAATGTTCCATCTCCTACAGCTAATCCTGGATTTATGCAAAAAAAACCCCCAAACAAAACCCAAACCACAAAACACCACAAAAAAGCCAACCCTGTCCAACACTGCTAAAGATGTAAAATGAAGTGTTTCAGATTGTATATGCACCCAAATAGCCTTTAGGTTACTCTGCATATTATATTTTCCCCCCAGAAAGTAGGTAGGATTGTTGCTCACTTAATGTTCAGATAGTTTTACACCGCAGATATTTGAGGACATGTACATATATTTTTAACAAAAAAGTTACAACATGCATTTTGATTTTACTTGCCGTAAAATGGGATTTGCTCATCAAAACAAGTTTCCTACACTTTGCTAGAGCAAAAACGATTTCCTGAATGTGGGGTTTTGTAGAGAAGATTAAGGAATGCCTGAGATTTGGCTCTGATTTAAATAACCAGTAATTCTGTGTTCGTTGGGCCAGAAGATCACCCTTTTCCACTCCTCTCAGTCCCAGAGCAGCCCACAAACCAACAGACAGCTCTCGCCCCATCTGCCTGCTCCCCACTGTGTAGGGATGCTCTCCTTCAGCCAGAACCTCTGGCTCTAGAGCCTCACAAGTTTACCAGGTCTTGGAGTCTCTCTGACAAGAAATGAACAATCAATCAGCTTCACCTGTGCCAAATTCCAACTTTCTGAACCCCTCCACAGCATGACCAAACACGCTACAAGCCATCATTCCTTGCTTTCAGGACAGAACAAGAAACAGCAACTCAATTTACAAAGGCAACACAACAAAGATGCCCAGCTCCAGGCTTCCCCTGCTCCCACAGCCCACTCTTCCAAAGGCCTGAGCTTTGGCCAAAGGCCAAAGACTCTGACTTATACCAAGAAGGGGTAGCAATCCATCTGAGCCAGAGGGCTGCAAGGACACTGTTTTTCCTTTAAAAACCTTTTTATTTATGAGGGACTCTCCTGCAACAGGCACTATAAAGTTAGTACAGAAGGGGACAGCCCAGAGGCTCCAGTGGAAGGAAGATGGGACTCAGAGGGGAGAAAAGTGAAAGGACAAAGGGAAACAGGGGGGGTGAAATAAGTTCTTTTCATAGTTAGGCAGAATCACTGACTCGCAGAATAACACAGAGTGGACAGGGCCTCTGGAGGTCTCTAGTCCAGTCCCTTGCTCACAGCATGTCCATTAGACCAGGCTGGATGAGGCTGCTTAGTTCCTTGTCCAGCTGAGTTCTGAATACCTGCAAGGATGGAGATCCCAATACCTCTCTTGGCCTTTGTCCCAGTGTTTGAACACCCTCAGGGTGAAAAAGCTTTTCCTTATATCTAGTTGGCAATTCTTGTCTTCCGCCCCTGTTCAGCCAGTTTATGAAAGCAAGGCACTTCTGGGGAAGGATGCTCCCTCTGACATGTGTGTTCTTGTTTTCTCTGCTGCATTTTATATAACTCATTTTATGCTTCTTTTTTGGCTCTGTTTTTATGCAGTAGCTCTGTTACTGTCTGCTTTTCCAATTATAAAAGCTCTAAATTTGATTTAAACCTGATAATTATTCTGTGATCTAGCAAAGGCCTTAATTAAACCTATTGAAGCCAATAGGTGTGAGGCATGCTCATTAGGACCTTAAAAATTTGGTGTTTAATTGCATCCAGCACTGAGAAAGGTGTAGGGAGGTGGAAAAGTGAATATGTAGCTAATTCAAGCCACCGGTACTAACAGGCCAGGACTTCATGCACTAGAACTCATATAACCCATCCAGACCAGGATTCTCTGCTGTCTTCCACCACAAGAGGAATATTAACATACCAGATGCACAAGAATACTCAGTTGGTCACTGGTATTGCTACAAAAGTTTGTCATGTCCTTTGGCTGTTAGAAATCCTGAATCATGATCTGCACAGTGCGTGTGTTTCTGTTCCCCTTCAAGGTCAAGGCGTTTCTAACTGCATCCACTACCCATCAGGACAACTCCAGTCTACAGGGGTACATCTTCCTCTCTTGCCATCAGTCTTGCCAAACTAAGCAAAATTTAGCCATAAAAAGCATTGGGATCTCTCCCGCCCGGCAGCAGCCAGCAGAAAAGTACAGGAAACAACATTTGGGAGGGGTAGTCTGGTATCCCCTGCAGCTGGCATTTCAGCCACCTAAAATAGCTGGTCAGCCCTGTACACAGTCTATAGCTTTGGGGAGGGAAGAAAAGTCCTTAACACACCGTGCTGTATAAAAGAAATGTCCTATAATACCACCACAGGAACAACGATGTCATTCTGTGCTGCCCTTCTGGTTTTATCTTGCCTGTTTATTTATCCCCTAATTCACTGGGTAACCGTGCAGAGCTACCAGGAGATTAATGTGTGGGGCTCCAGGGTGAAGGCAGGTCTTCACACTTTGCGGGGATGATCAAGGGCAGGTCCTGTGGCAACCTGCAAGCCAGGCGTTATCCTTTTGTGTTCTGACTGGAATTTGTCACAGTCAGTATGTCAGTAGCTTTCTTCCCTTCCTGTCCTTCCCCAGCAGCAAATCCTTGGTTCTTGCAGAGGTGTATGACTTTTCGGAAGGAGAACACTGACACGCCAGTGGTTATCACACTGATGATAGCTGACGAATGCTTAGTTGGCACCAGGGAGGAACTGGTGCTGAATTTATGTGCCTTATTCTCAAACACTTGTTCTTGGTCATGAGAAGCAGAGGGTTTTACACAGACACGAGAAGCGAATCAGCCTATGGGGAAATACAGTTATGGGAAACAGGCTTAAAATGGTCCCAAAATACGGCCTAAAAATGTCTTATAAGCCTTTAGCCCAGTCCAGAGGAAAAAGTGTGTTTGTCTTTCTTTAGGGCTTCACAACACCCAGCTCTAAATGTCACTAGCACGCAGAGGAACAGGAGTGACCATAATGCTCAGAAAATACCCCCATTCGCTACGTCAAGCTCTTCCAGTGACACATCAAGCAGCTCTTCACTTTCATCAGAACCAACCAGCCAGATCTCCATGGTTCAGGATCAAACCCTGCTGGACATCGCCTCCATCACTAGATTGGCCCCGGGAGAATCACCAAACCCTCAACCATTTGAGCAAAGGGATAAAAATTTAGCAATATCGTGTTCCAGCCCACTCGGAGCAAGGACTATTCCAGCTTCTTGCCCAGCCAGCCCCAGGCTCAGTCTAACACCCAGCTCAGCCAAGCCACAGCAATACTCTGACTCCTCTCCGGTCAGTCCAGGGATCAATGCAACTTCCTTCTACACCTTTTGTCCTCACACAGCACAAAACATACAAGCTTCAGCATCAGATCACACACTGACCCCAACCAGGAAAAGCACAAGGCCTCCAGCAACAATGACTCCTGAAGATAGTTCCAAGTCTCCTGGCTATTCTAAAACTGGATTAAAGAATACAGGAAAGGGTTTTGAATCAGATCTGGAAGATCCTGATCATGAAAGGTACGTATCCAGACCATACACATGTTTATGTCCTCAAATGACTCAACTTGGTATAGGGTCATTAAGAGCCCCTGATAAAAAAAAAAATTAAATATCTTTTGTGATTTAGGTATTCCCAGTGTTTGTTTTCCAGTAACTACTCTGTGCTCCCACTAAACCTATTATCCAAGAAGCAAAATACCATATTTTCCATACATTCATTTAGCTCTCCAGACCTGATTACAGACCATCCCTGGGCCAGGTTGTCAACCTCAGCTCCTCCAACAGAGCACAGTTTTAAGGTGCCGCATTTCCTTCCAAATGAGAAAGCACATCTCTCCCTATACTAGCAGAGGGAAACTCTGCTGTTAGGATGAAGCCTGAGAACTAAGAGCTGGGGATGGTATTCAGTGACATGGCTGGTATCTCCCTTCTCAAACCTCAGGCTCTGTGGTCCGACCCCAGGCAAGCTGGGTTGATTTCACTCCTCTGAGCCTCTGAACTCCATACTGTGTCTGCCACTTCTTTCCTTGGCAGGATATTTGTAACTGCGAAGGAATTCCAAGCCATGGAGAAAGAACTAGAGGATGTAAAAGAAGAACTGAAATGCCTGAAGTGGAAAGTGAGACACATTGGTGAGACTGTGCAGCCCTTGGCCGAAGACAGCAAGCGTTACAACGGCTATACCCTGACGGAGCTCAAGGCAATGGTGCAGTTTGAAGACGACCCTTACAAGGCTGCACACAAGATCCTAACCGCGCTCTTCAGCGATGTCTACTTGCTACAGCACTCAGTCACTGAACAGGCCTGCAACTCCCGATCTCTGCCCAAGCCCAAAATAGACCCAGAGCTGTACACGGTGTACTGTGACATTCTGAAAAGCATATTCCCTGGAATTAGCAGCCAGACCTTGAGGGAAGAGACACAACACGTGCAGAAAAGCAACCAGAAAGAAGTGCAATAACACCAGAGCCCACAAGATGTTCTGCAAAGTGAGAAGTCTCCAGTGATTTTAGAGGGCTGAACTGTGGTACGTACCGTTGGTTGAGTCTATCCCTTTTAGGTGTGAATCATCTGTAAAGATATTGGTGAGCTCTGAGCCCTTCATGCCACTTGCCCAGTGAGACAGGGTGGGAAGGCATTCTGCATCCTTCCCACATTTTAGAAAAAAATTGCCCCTTTAATGTCTCTTTCAATCTATGGACATTTCTTTGTTTCCAGCAACTACAAATGCTGACAAAAGAATCCAGAGAAGGCATTGTATGTCCAAGCAAGGGCCTTTTCCCAGCCCCAAACAGACCAACCAACCAGCATCTGGGTAGTTTCTATTTTCTAGAGTATATCATTCATTAAATGACATTACTTGTTAGAAATTTGTGCCTGTTCTTTTCTTTTCTTTTTTTGTCTAAAAATGCTTTGCACATCAATCAACAATCATAACTTGAACACGCACTGGGATGAGACCCAGGCAGCAAACCACCCTCCTCCGTCCATCTGTACCCTGGGTTGCACGGGCAGAAAACCAGGGCAGCGAGGTCAGCAGCTGCAGTGCGCCCCAGCAGGTCTCCACTCTGGGTAACTGGGGGCCAGGGCGTAAGGGTGTACAATATGCCCTTAAATCACCAAGGCACCAGTGAAACAGAGAGAGGTCTGTGACCTCCACCTCTCCAGCCTCTGATGACCGAGCTGACAGCCCAGCTCACACGTGTCACCAGCTGTGCTCTGCCTTCCCAGGCAGCGCTGCTGAAAGGCTGGGCCCTTGCGAAGGTCTCACGAGGCGACCGCTGCTGTGGGGCCTGCCCCAAGGGAAGGGGGCTGCTGGTCATGGAGGACACACAGGAAAATGGCCCTGGGGCCCCTTCCTCCCCGTCTGGGAGCCAGCAAAGCGCAGCGGATGAACAACAGCTTGTCCATCAGGTTCTGCTCACAGGGCTGGCCTTGCAGCCCGCTTTGCAATGACCTGGTGAAGGTGGAGGGGTGGAGGGATGTCCTTGTGCCGTTTCACTCAGGACCACTGGAATATACTGCTTCCCTACCCTCCTGGTTCACGCACCCCCTTTCAGAGAGTCATTGACGCTTCTTGGAAACAGCCGCTTCCCTGGTCTCAAGGTGACAAATACATCAAAACCCAGAACATGCCTGTCCCGCACACTGCTGCTGCTCCCTGCCAGGCCACTGAGGATGGCCAGATGAGCAAAGGGTAACCTGTGAGTTCAGTCTACCTTTCCCTCTGCTGGGATATAATCCACTTCTTAAGCTTATTCCAAAAACAACAGGGAGGAGAAGAATAAAAACAATTTAAAAAAAAATAAAAGCAGATCATTCCTCCGCAGCTCCAGACATCTTCGGAGATGGGAGGGGGAAGTATGCTCCAAGGACACGCTGTGTACCTTCTGCGCTCTTCTGCACAAGGGTATTCTGACGTTTGTGTGAGAGATCCTACCTGCCTTTCAGCATGATCTATCTATACTGTTCTCTGCTGGGCTTACAAATACATTTCTTTAAGCTCCTTGTTATTAGCAATTGATTTTACTCACAAGCCGATGTGCAGACACAGGCACAGCGCTTTGCCCACGTAGCCTTTCTGTTCCACACTACAGCCAAGATCTACAGCCACATCTGGCAAATTACCAGGTAGCTACGGCAATACACGGGGTTGTGCACAGCGCACGCCCTCGGGGCGGTCACAGCACCAAAGCAAGGGCCTGGGAAAAGGATGCGTCCACACACACAGACAGCTCCCTTCGCAGGTGGGCACGGAGGTGAGTGCAGGATGGACGGAGCTGCTGGAGAGGCAGCGTGCCCTCTGAGCAAATCACACACCCCAGTGAGCACTGCAGCGGATTATGACAAATCGTCCGGAAGGCTCCGTGCACCGTGGAGGGGAAGTTTGTGTCTCACACAAGCATGTCCCTCCTGCAAGCATTTATGTTCTGCTTTCACGGCTCCTTTTTGGAGGACAACGTGTCCCTTTGGTTCAGACTGGTGGGAATAGGCTGGCCCTCCTTTCACAGAACTCACGTAGGCACTGCTCCAGACTGGCTTTTCTATGACAGACCAGACCCCCGACTCCCTCAGATCCCTCTCTTCAGAGCTTTCCATAATCTCCAGTGGACACAGAATTTAGGAAAATGCAATGTAGGTATTAGCAATATCAATCTTCATACCTTGTATTGCCTGTCCTCTCTGCCCATAAAATCTTAATTCAGTTGTTCCCTTAAGAACAGGCTTTGTGGCATCTCATGTTCATGAGGCCAGGCAATATGCTCCGATTATCTCTTTTAGCCACGTTGTCCTCATGCTTACTAGTAACAAGGTCCAGCACAGGTCTATCAATTATTTTTATTAGCCTTGCATCATCAAGGCCGGTTCTGTTCGATATTGTCAGTTCTGGGTCCCTTTCAGGTGTCAGTGTCCTCCTCCTTCTCATTCAGTTGTGGTATGAATCACTTCTGCCCATTTGAGAGATGTGCATTAGATCTTTTACCCTGATAGTCGTGGCTTTTGGCCATTCCAGTGGAGCTTCCAGGTTATTTGCATCCAACTAGAGTTGGCCAGACTTGCCAGACCTTCCATACATTATTATTAGGTATCTGCAACTTCTGAGCCCTAGAGTCTGACCCCAGTGCCTTACCTGCCGCAGCAGTCCAAGTGATCAGCTGCAGGGAACCTGTGAAAAAAGCAATAGGGCATACCCACTACATTTGTCCTTTACAGCCTCCTTGCTTCCTTCTTTTCCTCTGCTGCATTTGTACCTTGAAGGCAGTTCTGCCTCTGCAAAGATGGTTTGTTCCTAGGTTACTACATTATCTGCACTTTTGTGACCATCTCCAGTACTTGAGCCACCTTCCCTGATTTTTCTACAGGGAGAAAAACCCACTAATTTTCTACTCATTTTCCTGAGCCCTTCCTGCTGTTTGTATTCCTGTGCATTACCAAGTCCTTTCATCCTTTTACAAGCCTTAGCTTTCCTTGCTAGCTTTGCTTACCTAGGTTTGCTGGGGGAGAGAAACACAGCTGTCTTCCCACAATTCTGAAGAGCTTTGCTGCATCCAGCCTATTTTTTCTATAGTCACCCACTCCTAACACAACAGGAGGGTGCGGGCTGACCGCCTACACCTGCAGAAAGAGCCCTTCTCCTTGGAGAGCAACAAAACTGAGTCAGCATAACAGAAGTAAGACAGCAGTATCTTAAATAAACAGGCATGAAAGCGGGTTTTTTTGCTTTCACTTTCAGCATCCTGCGCTTGCCAGAAATGTGTCCTGTTACAAGCATGCTTTGCCTCAAGACTTTAGGTCTAGCTGCCTGGTATTCAGACAGAAAGGCAATTACAGAGTCCCATTATTCTGACAGTTAAAAAGATTCAGCCATTGTTCTTCTTGGACAATTCATACTGATTTGCACCGTGCCTGCATTGTTCCTTAGCCTAAATAAGCCTTGTCTCCAAAATGTTATCATCTTCACTTGCATAGAGACAGACAGAGAAGGCAATCAGACACATAGTGAAAAATTAGTCTATAAATCTATGTTGCATTCCATCTATTCTCCATTAAACTATATAACTCTATTTTTTTCCTTGAACATGTATTTTCAGGTCTGAAGACCCAGTACCAGACCAAATGATTTTTTTCTTTCCTTTCTTAACTATAGGCATTACATTTGCTATTCTCCAGTCACACCCAAATCCAGAGATTCATTAGTATTACACTTACTCAAGTAACACGCACTCTCTCTTATGTATTCATCCCTGCATGTAACCTGAGGAGCTAAGAGCCACGGCACAGGTTGTCTTCCCCTGTGTCATCTCTAGGAGCAGATGTCTAGTCAGAAGTGCGAGGACATGAATACTTCTTCCAGCCTCAGGCGATTTGCAGTTTATACTGATTGATTGCATTAAATAAGCAACCTATTAATATTCACCATGCTGTGGCTCAGTAGGCTTCAGCTGGCAGACAGATTCTACAGCAGATAAGTTATGTTAAACAGAGGGTCCTGATCCATACTGGTCATAGAATCACAGAATAATTTAGGCTGCAAAGAGCCTCTGGAGGTCAACTGGTCCAACCCCTCTGATCAGATAGTGTTCTAGTAAAAGAAACCGAATAATAATATCTGTGCTGCAAAAACCAAACCATTGCAATACAACAAACATCTGACAAAAATAAAAAAGGAAAAAAAAAAAGAAAAAAAAAAAGGAAAAAAAAAAAGAGAGAAGCCATACAAACAACCTGCATTGGAATCACTTGCAGATCAGATCCAGCATAGGAAAATCTGAGGCTTTTTCTTCTCCCAGAAGCACTGTGCTAGGAGATCATCTAGATGGGAGCTCTCCACAGGCTAATCAGCCTGTAGAAACTTAATTTATATCTGCATCAGTGGATAAAGAAGAATAAATCGCAAAGTTTCTGTGGCCCTGTTTTGGAGGACCCTTTGCTATGGTTAGATCTACATGCATTGCCAACTCATTTTTCAGATTTCTCATTAATATCTCTAATGCGTAACTGCAGTCAAAATCAGTCACTGAATCATACATTTTATGACCTCATGCTTACCCCTTCATACTGTTAATAATAATAATACCCCTGCATAAGATGAACGCTTTCTGCAAAACAAGTCCACCAGGCCTTCTGGTTTATGACTTAAAATATAGTAGAACCAGTTTTAGGCAACTGTCAACATCTTTATATTAATTATCAGCAAAATCCTAACTGAAATCTGAGTCACAAGGGCTTGGGCAGTACCATTAATCCCTTCTCCATTCTCCCTACATGAATGCCTGCTTCTCATGATGTGTTCTCTTTCTCTATACATTTATATACCTAGTTCCTTTTGCACACTCCAATTCAACTTTACTTCAGTAATTTTCACATTAAATCTACAGTCTTTGTTTCCCAAGGTGAAACTGCCTCCAGAGACCCTTTTCCATTTCTTCTATCCATATGCTTCTATAGGTGGTTACTTTTTCACTATGAGCTGGAGCCCTCCCCTACGGACCTCTCCTCCCCTCGGACTCTGACAGGCAAACAAGTGTCCAACAAGTCATTCCCCGACCCGTATTCTCAAACCACAAGCAGATGACCAAGGTGCGGATCTCCCTAGGGCCTTAATGCTACTCCCGGAGGAAAAATAGTGACACTGGGGGATCCCAAAGGACTTCAGACAGAATACACAAGGACAGAACATGCATTGATCTACCCAAGTACAGTACTGAGCAGATCTTAGCTTCTTGCAGATTTTTTGTGAAGACTACATTTTCTCAATGTCCCAAAGACAGTGATTAAAATACATATCAATGTCTTGCTGGGTCAGTGGGTTTTGATCAGATTTCCCATTTCATGTTAATATTCAGATATGTTACCACCCCAG